TCTTCTTATTCTGACGCGCATGTGTCTCGCGAGGCATAACAGAAAGAATTTCCTTCCCCCCTCTCTCTCTTTATTAGCTAATGACAAATATGTTTATATATTTTGAAGTATGTCATTCACAAAGCACAATTTTGATTGGTTATTGCTTTCTGATGATAGTTTCATTCTTTTAGAAATGTGGTTGTGGCAGCAGTTTTTCATCCATTGCTTTGGATACTGCACTGCTGACTGTTGTCTTGAAAAGATGAGAGTTATTGATTATTTCATTGTAATTTTTTATATTATGTTTTAATTACATATAATTTTAATTATATAAAAGTTTTGCATGATTTTTTTTAGGAAACAAAGTTCTTAACTTCCTTTATACCATTTGAATTCTTAAGGTTTTGCAACGGGAATTTGGTTAATTTATTTATTATGATAATTAATATTTGTATTAAAATATATTGCTTAATTCATTGTAATTTTGTCATATGTAATAAGTTTTTTTATTTATTTATTCGATAAAGTTGTTCTGCAGAGTAAAATTCTGCGCAGTTTTTAAATTTAATGCCCTTTAGTCATTTTTCCGGTACATTTAAAAGCCAGACTAAGGCTGGCCGCGTAGCTGCTAGGTTCTATATAAAATATAGTAAAGAGAGTAAGGAGAACGAAAAATAAATACGAAGTACATTACGAACTTGCATCCACTTGGTTACAAATTGTCTAGAGACTATATGATGCGCATAAATAGAAAATAAAGAATATAAATAAATTTCAAGCAGAAAATTAAAGCACTTTTTTTTCGCACTAAGTGCGAAAAAAATTCAGTAAAAATTTAAGTATTAAATAAGCTCATGAGGATTGACATCAAGCGAATGGATTTGGAAGATACTGCAAGGAAATTCTGTACTTCACAAATTAAGGAAGGTATTTTTTAGTACACACACACATGCACGTATATATAGTATATATTTGGGGAGAGAGAGGGAGAGAGAGCGAGAGACGGGAGTTAAAGGGCTTTCTCTTTCTCTCTCTCTCTCTATATATATATATATGTAAAATATAAAATATCTATCTTTCAAATAATAAATTAATAATAGTCCTTAACTCCTGTCTTCATTCTAAAAATTATAATAACATTTCTGGACTGTGCAATTTCTAGATTAATCTTTGCTACTAGTCGATAGGATAGTTTCCTGTGTTTAAATAGTTCAATGGAAGAATTTATTCGACCAGTTCTAATCATCAAGACACGGCTTTGCCATTCTATCTGCACAGTAAATCATGGGAAAATTTCGGTTTTACCGAAAATTTTAATGAAAGTTTTAGCGGCATTCATAATCAAATCTCCGTTCGTGTTCTGCGCAAAACAAAAAATGTGATCATCTGTGGCTTAAAAATTACTTTTAAGATGCGGTTATCAAAAGTTACTCGGCTAAAAAAACAGTTTTTCCTAATTATGTTTTACATAATTAAATAACGGATTTAAATATTTATAATTATTTTATTTTGGGACAGTTATTAAAATTACTGTAGTAATAATTAGAAATGAGATGATTGTTTGAAAATTTTAATTTTAGAATTTTGAATTATTTTATGAATCAGGTAATTTTGAAAAACTGGTACAGAAAAATGGATATAGAATTATGTTTTGAGTATGACAAAGAAAGTACAACAAATGTAATTTTTATCGTGGCAAAGATTACAAAACTGCGTCTGTCGTTGATCAGGTCCCTGAGCACCATACAAGTGACAGTCCAACTTTATGCTCACTTCCACATCAATTTTGAAGGAGAGTTCCCTGGGAGGTGTATCCAAGGATCTCCTACGCCTCTTTCTTTACCACAACCTCTCGAGAGGAGCCTCGTATGTTGAATTCTCCCATGCCGCAGAGCTACTATACATTTACAAGCATCCATGCCTTCTCCGGAATTCGAACACGTACATTTTCGTACGGCAGACAGTATCACTAACCACCCCTCTCAGTGACTAGAGCAAGCTACCTAACAGATAGGGCATATTATCGTAAACCGTGTATTAGGAAACAATATGCATCCTTATGCACGTATCAGGCATGGAGCTAAATGTAAATAATTAGACGCAATTAAAAAATTGCCGATGGAAAAGCATACCTGATTTAAGCAGGATAGGTTTCTAAAGCCAAATTAACTTTTAAGAGAAATTGATATCAATAATTTGAATTTTTGTAAGAAACTGCAATTTTTGAATTTTAGTTAAAGTAGTCATCACGATAAATGACGGTATGTAAGGAAAAATTCAAATAAACACAAAGTAGAAAATACAGTTTAAATGAAAGCTATAAAATAAATGGAAATGTTGATAATACGATGTATATATCAATATCCAAAGCTAAACATTAATTGCATTTTTGGAAAACATTCAAGCGATTTTTTTAAAAACTTAGCGTATTATTATCTACATTTAAAAAAAAAATCAAAATAGTGACATACTGAAAGAACAAAAGAACTCTTTTTTTGAAATGGTAAGGATTTTAAATGTAATACGAGATGGTATAAAGTACATTACTGTGGATAGACATTTTAAAATAAAAAAAGCATATATGATAAATTTCTAAAAATATTAATATAAAAATGTAAATAACAAATTTCTAAAGAAAAAAAAGATTAATCTTTGAATCTGAGCAGAATCCTCCTTAGCCACTATGGAAAAGATCAAATTGTTCTTCCCTAGTTTTCCAATGACCTAGAAGAAAATAATTTTCAAGGACAAATACTTGAAAAGTAAAGGAAAATCAGTGCAGCCGCAGTAGTTAATACGTTTGTGTAGTGACAAGGTGGATTAATAATTTATGGACAATAATTTATAATAGTTAACGGGCAATAATATTGGAAAACAAAAGACCACTAATAAATCGAACATTAAAAAAAAACTCTGAAAAATTACCAAATTCGAAAAGCATTAACTATTAGTCAAAAACTGAAAACTAAAAGCAAACTGCAGCAAATTGTTCCAATTACATTTAACGTATGTGAAACATGGGAATTTAAGTTCCGAAAAATACATGAAATCCAATTAATTCCAATTTTAATATTTTGTGGTATTCTAATTGAAAACGCAGTGCGCATTATTGTAAACAGCTTTATATTCCAACATTATAATAAATTTTGAAAACGGTAGGGTAGGGAATTCAAGTAAAGAAGAAGAAGGTAGCATAAGCTAAAGGTATTCATCAACCAGGCATATAACCGGTCTCGAATGTAAATGGGCCTTTGTTAGCAGCGGAGATAGCAGTTACAATTTTACAACGTCACATCTTCTTCTCAGATATAATAGCTTCTTCTCAGAATGAAATATTTCTTATCATTGTTTAAAAAGGTAAAATAACAATTTCCGCTTTTAATTTACTTGAACACATCAAACAAATATTGTGGCTTATCAAGTTAAGAACGTGACGGTACGATCAACAAAACGGAAAAATTAAAACTCATTTCAATCAATTAACAGCGAATTTCACATCAAAGTAGCAAATGTGTTTATGCATAAAGGTGGCATATGTTTATGCATAAAATTAGGTACATAGATGAAAACAATATTCAATTTTTGGTAATTCTTTGACGACATTACATTTGGATAATTAACAAATTGATGTTTAATGCGGGAAACAAACAAACAGAACTTGCACTGATGAGGTATACCTCTATCCCCGGCCATCACACAAAGTGTACAGTGACTGCCCATGCTTTCAGTTAGGTGATCAATTATCGCAAATTTCAGAAATGGACATTCCTCCACGAAAGCTGTTTCCAACTCTCTGAATAAAGCAGAAGCAGCACGCCGAGAGCATCCATAAGATTTTCGATGGAAATAAGTTGGGACAACTTGCGGCTACTTTGTATAACAAATCCCATTATTCTTCAGACACTTGTAAATGAAGTTAGCTTGACGGCCACAGGCATTATTATTCAAAAGTAGAAAATTAGTACCAGCTGCTACAGAGAAGTATCATAATGAAGTACAGAACTTCATCCGATAACACAGAACCGTTTTAAAGATGTTCAGCACTACGCCTCGGTGTTGCATTTGCTTTACTGTGTTGACACTTGGTTTTGCTATCTGCTATGGTGATTATGAATATTCATAATAAAATTCAATAAAAAGTACAAATGCAATTAAAAATACAAATAGAAAAAAGTAATTACAAAATAATAGAATTAAAATACAGGCATAAAACATTAACTATTATGCATGTACAGAAGAGAAAACCTTAAATATATGCTGAAAACATTTGACAGCACTTTATTTGATTAGTGTCTGTAGTAGAGTCTTATGTAAACTTTATGGGTAGACTTATGTGTCTGCGGATGTGGAAATAAGTTATCCCAATTCTTGCAACAGTCACCTATTCGAACATCGTATGGGTTTTAAGGTGTATGAGTCCCCTTAAGCTTCTGGATCAGTGGCCGCTTGCTTGAAGACCTTGGACGGTTATACACGAAGCGAGAAATCTACGAGAGGTACAGAGTCATTGAGACTATCGAATGGTGTCCTGAGGAATGGCTTTCCATTCCCTGTAAACCATTTGTCAGAGTTAATCTTTTGAATGCTGCAATGGCAGGTCTAATCACATCAGAGATGTGTTCGATTGGTGAGAGATCGGTAGCAAACGGTGGCCGGGAAAGCAGAGAAGCACATGCACACCTTGAAGAGCACTTTGTCTGATGCGTGTAGTGTGTGGTCGGGCGTTATCCTGCAGATAAAGGGCACTGGGCACCCCTGAACGTAGGGGAGTATCACCGGTCACAATATATCATCCACGTATCATTGTGCCGTCATGCCCGATAAATGAGGTAGGATCCATAATTACCAAAATATCAGTTCCGCGGGCGCCAATTCTCTGTTCCACATCTGGGCGACACTTGATTTAAATAGAAACTACTGAACCCCTGTTTCCGTCCCAAGTAGTTAGGATTTGAGTATCCCTGCACCCCGGAAGTGCCAGTCGACCTTCAAAAGTACTTGGATGTAGTAGTAGGCGGTAATGTAGGCGAGACTGTTTGTCATATACTATGTTTTTCTAAAATAGCGCGTTAAATGAAGGATGAGAGGCTTGTAAAAAAAAAAAAAAAAGGGGGAAATGATTTAATTAAAATTCACGAGTCGAATGTAATATGCGCATTTGAAAGGGTTGGTTTCAGTTGAGTGGGCTGGGATAATATTCTGCATTGCTAAATTAGGAACGAGATGGTCGCTTTTCCTTGAGAAAGGTTAGATCAAGGTTAAGATTTTGAGGGGGAGGTGAAAGTAGTATTTGATGAAATACGTGTTTTGAAAGCGTAAACATCCTGTAAGCGCACAAGGCGAGACTTGTGAAACTTTCACTTGATCATTACATTTCGAAGCGGTGAGGTTGGTGCTATCATCCTCCATAAGGATTACAATGGAAGCTCGTAATGGTGAGTGAAACGTAAGGTTTTTTTTTTTTTTTTTTTTTTTGTGTTATTGTTCTTTTATTGTTAAATACTTTCTGCGATAAATGTTAAGCATAAAATTATAATTAAAATTAGTTTATTTTAGAACGCAAACGTAGATGTGTTGACACGTTGGGGGATGTGCAGCCGTCGGAAGATCTTATTTTAAACCTTGCTCCCGAGGAAGGCGAAACCTCCCGCAAAAAACTCAAAAAAATTAAAATATACATTGGAAAAAATGTTTCAATAGAAACTTGTGACTTCAAAAATGTCAATTATGTTTCATTTGTAAGGGTGTATCCCGAAACCGCCGCCACCCCCAAAAGATTTAATATAAATATGAATTGTATTGATCGTATAATCGAAGCTTTGGGGGTGATTAAGAGTCACTGTATGTAAAATTTAAAAAAAAAAAGATATCAAAATGCTGATTTTGCTGGAAAGCGGTAGTGGAAGTTAGTAAATTAATATGAATTTTATATAATATTGTAAACAAAAAAGTTCCATTATTTATTTATTATTTTTTTTCAAATGATGAATTTTATTCAGTTAGCGCAAGCCCACCGAGGCTATTTGCGCACTTTAAGAACAACATTCGATGCTTCTCAGAAAGATCCGTATGAGATATTCAGAACGGCACGCCCTGCCATATACAACATTTTAAATACTAGATCGAGTTTAAGACTCAGGATTTTAATATGTTTGAAAATATGTTTTGAGAAACTGGGGAAAGATGAAAAAGAAATTAATCAGTGTTTTTATTTTTGTTCTCATTGCGAAAGGATTTTATCCTCTAACCAAATCTACGAAAGCATTGATAGATGCTTTAAAAAGATTTTTAATTTGATAGATAATTTTGTGCGTAATGGAAGCGGGTGGAAAATAAAAAAGTATCTTGACTTACATGTTGGAAACTAACGGGAAAATCGCGGTGGTTGTAAAAACATCGCTTTACCGACGGGATTAAAAAATAGAAAAGCGTTGTTAAATATCAAATGTGGTGACGACAATTGTTTTTTTTATATTCTGTTGCCGCAAGTGTTTTTCCGAAATCCACTAGGAATCCTCAGAAGGCTTACTTGTATAAAAAGGATATATCACGTTTTAAATTAGGATCCCTCAAATTTCCCTTAGCGTTAGGCGATGTAAAAATGTTTGAAAACCTGAACAATGTATCCATAAACGTGTATGGATATGTGGAAAATGAAATATTACCTTTGCAATTAAGTGAAAAGCGAAATGCAACAGTAGATTTGCTATATTTTCAAAAACATTTCTTTTGTATTCGAAATTTTAATCGTCTATTACACGCAAACGAAAAACGAGTAAATTTTTTTTGTAAAACTTGTTTAAGTGGGTTTCAGAGAAGGGAAACGTTAGAGTATCACAAAACTCTTTGCAATGAAAACAAACCGCAGAAAGTTAGCATTCCTAAAAACACACTTCTTAAATTTACAAATTTAATGAAAATGCATTATCATCCTTTTTGTGTCTTTACCGATTTTGAATGCCTCACGCGCAAGATTCAAACTGCGTTTCCTTCTCCGCAACAGAGTCATACTACCCCAATTGAACAGCATATTCCTATTAGTTATACCCTAATAGTTACTGACGTGGAAGACAAGATTATTTTTCATGAATATTTTTGCGGAGAGAATGTAATGGAACATTTTTTCACAACGTTGAGCGAAATCAAATCTAAAATTTTGCAAAAGATGAAAGAGTGTTTACCGATGCAGGAGACGTCGGAAAAAAGTTACGATTCAAATATATGTCATATATGTTTGAATCCTTTCTTAGAAGGCGATGTTCGGGTCAGAGATCACTGCCACTGGAGTGATGGGCATGTGAGAGGTCTTGCACATCGCTCCTGTAATTTGAATTTTAAAGTGTCAAACTACATTCCGGTGGTAATTCATAATTTCAGGAATTATGATAGTCACCTGTTACTAAAACACATGCCGAAAATGTATGCAAATAAAGTTAACATTATTCCGGTGAATTTGGAAAAATTCACCATGTTTACACTAGATGAAATGAAATTTATTGATTCGTTTCAATTTTTAGATGCGTCTTTGGACACTTTGGTGTCGAATTTGAAAACGTCACAACACGAATGAATTTAAATTGTTTAATGCATTTTTTGAGAAAAATCCCCAACGAGAATTGTTATTGCGGAAAGGCGTATTTCCTTACTCATATTTTGCGTCAACATCGGTGTTGGATGAAATTTCGCTTCCACCGCAGAGCGCGTTTAATAATGTATTACAAGGAGAAGCAGTTTCCGACGAAGATTATGTACATGCCACACACGTGTTTCATTCGTTTGGATGTAACACTTTTGCCGATTACTTAGAGTTATATCAAAATACAGATGTTATTTTGCTAGCCGAAGTATTTTTATCCTTCAGACGCACCGCTCTAAAATATTACCAGTTGGATCCTGTACATTTTATAACGGCTGCCGAATTAACGTGGAATGCCGGACTGAAAGCGTCTAAAATTGAATTAGAGCTTCTAGGAGATGTGAATCAATACATTTGGTTTGAAAACCAAATGCGAGGAGGTATTTGTTTTCTGGGTAGACGTTATGCTCTTGCAAATAATCCTTATATCCCCGAGAGTTATAAACCCGATTTACCACACACCTATATCTTAGCCTTAGACGCAAATAATCTATACGGGTGTGTAATGAGCCAGCACCTGCCATTGGGAGGTTTTTTTACTGGTTAAAGGAAAATGAGGTGGAGGCGTTTGATATTTTGTCTTGTGTTGAAGACGGTGATGTGGGGTATATTATCGAATCCGATCTGTTATATCGCTCCCATCTGCATGACCAACACAATGATTTACCGCTAGCACCGGAACATTTTGAACTCACTTTTGACATGCTATCGCCTTATGCCAAAACCCTGAGCAAAAAATTTCAGTTAGAGACGACACTTCCATGCAAAAAATTATTACCCAATTTTTTTTAAAAAAAAAATTACATCGCTCATTATTTAAATCTAAAGTTTTACGTAGAACAGGGTTTAATAATTAAGAAAATTCATAGAATTTTAGCTTTCAAACAACGAGCGTGGCTTAAAGAATACATTGCTTTCAATAATATGAAAAGACAAAATGCGTCTAGCGAATTTGAAAAATCTTTCTTTAAAAAGATGAATAACGCTTTCTATGGAAAAACCTGTCAAAATGTTAGGAAACGTATTCGCGTACAGGGCGTTTTTAGTGAGGAACAATGCCAAAAAAAATTAAACAGTCCTCTGCTGGAATATTTTGAAATAATTAATGAAAATTTTTCAGTTTTCAAAATGAAAAATCCAAATTTGTGTCTAGATAAACCGATTTATATAGGTTTCAGCGTTTTAGAATTAGCGAAGTTGCACATGTATAAATTATTCTATTCCCATTTTAAACACTTTTACAAAGAAAAATGCGAGTTGTTATACACAGATACAGATTCTTTGTATCTCTATATAACAACTGAAGATGTATATAGTGATTTAAAAACGAATTTTTTAAATATTTTGGATTGCAGTAATTTCGAACCCAATCATATAATGTTTAATGAAGAGAACCGTGGAAAACTGGGATTTCTAAAAAGTGAGACACTCACCCCCATATCGGAATTTGTGGGTTTGAAATGCAAAATGTACGCATTTCGTTTCGGTGATACTGTTAAAAAGACCGCGAAAGGAATCAAAAGGAGCGCGCTCAAAAACATTGGATTTGAAACGTATAAAAACGTTTTCGAAAATGCTTCCCTGATTAGGAATTCTCAATATTCAATCATTTCAAAAAAGCACGAACTGCAAACGATTTTTCAAAATAAAGCTAGCCTCTCGGGATATTATGACAAAAAATATTTGTTAGATGATGGAATTCAATCATTGTCTTATGGTCACTATAACACGCGTGAAGAAGACATGAATTAAAAAAAAATGATGGAACTTTTTTGTAACATTTTATTGTAGAGTGTGACATTGTATTTTTGCAACTTATATTTTTTTATGCTAATGATCGACAAAAAACAAAAATGTGTTTCCCTCCCATAGAATACCCAGAAGATATGGCTTTATTTCAACCAATTTCTTTGCAAGATATGTGTATTCAAACTATTTTATCTTCGATATTATGTATAGCTGAACTGTATATTCCTCGTATGATTTTAAGAGATATAATAGAGAAAGGTCGATTCTGGATTGATTTTGAAAGTAGTTTCTCCTTAGAGAACAGAGATGTATTTTGGGATGAAAGTTTAACTCTCTATGAAAGAATTCGATTTAATAAGTGGTTTTCTAAACAATTTATTGCCTGGTTTTTCTTTGATGATGATGTTATATTTCTTTTACACCTAAAGATTGCACATATCACATTTGTAAAACATGTAATTGTTCAAAATAATGAGTCTAATATTTATTTGAAAAGCTGCAACAAATGTTTAGAATTGTGGTTACGATGTCAAACAGACACTACCAGAACGAAATGTAAAATTTTCAGAAAATTCAATCATTTCTTATGTTATAATGAAAGGGATACCCTTTCTTATATGCGAAATGAAGATAACTGGTGTGAGATATGTAAGCAAAGTCCTCTGTATTTCATTTGCGACGAGAATTCATGTTGCATTTCTTTTGGAAACTTGATACACGAATGTCCCCGAATTAACCATGATCACTGTTATAATAATTGCTATGGAGGTTATGTAGAAAACTTTTCTTTTAACTGTCGAATATGAACAAAAATACTGATACATTATGGCAATATTCTGATTAATCATTTTTATTTTATAAACACCCTGAAATTTTTGTTGATATGTAATGATTCCATTTATGTTTGTAACAATGTGAAATGTACTTTTTGTTTTATTTGATTACTTATTGTATTATCAATATAACATCTCACATGGTGTAATGAAGATAATGGGTTAGTTTCTATATAAATTTACAACGAAAAATCGTTTTGATTTCTTTAAATGTTCATTTTAATTTCTGATACTTATATGCGAAATGAAGATAATTGGTGTGAGATATGTAAGCAAAGTTCTCTGTATTTCATTTGCGACAGGAATTTATGTTGCATTTCTTTTGTAAACTTGATACACGAATGTCTCGCGAATTAACCATGATGACTGTTATAATAATTGTTATGGAGGTTATGTAGAAAACTTTTCTTTTAACTGTCGAATATGAATAAAAATACTGACACATTAAGGCAATATTCTGATTTATCATTTTTATTTTATAAACACCCCCTCCATGTATGTTTCGACGAAAAAGAGGGGGGAGGGAAAGAAATTTTTGTTGATATTTAATGATTCCATTTATGTTTGTAATAATGTGAAATGTACTTTTTGTTTCATTTGATTACTTATTGTATTATCAATATAACATCTCACAT